CAAGAAGAACAAGAAGAACAAGAAGAACAAGAAGAACAAGAAGCACAAGAAGAACAAGAAGCACAAGTCACAAGAAGAACAAGAAGAACAAGAAGAAGAACAAGAAGAACAAGAAGAACAAGAACAAGAACAAGGGGACAAGCACAAGACGACTTGTAGGAATTGGTTGCGGTTCCATTCCCGGCCATAGACCCAGCATTGGACGTCCTTCTCCATTTTATGCATCAAAGAAGAGAGACTAGCTGTTATCTATTGCATTTCTTTCCCCTAGACCCAGTGACCCAAAAAAGTCAGCTGGACTCGTAGGAGTCACATTCTCACGGCTCACAAAAACGGCTCAGAGAAAACTCTACAAACAGTTCTCCTTTCTCTCAGAGCGTCTGTCCCTCACCCTTAGGATCCTCGGGGCTCCGCTACAATGTGAAAACACGGAAGCTTTTGATCCCGCTCTCGAGCCAAACATCACAGTCGGTTTGACTGTATCAATGTCCTTCATCTCTTCTTCTGAAGAGGTCTGACTGGTCACAGTCGTCCAAAACATATTCAAAGAACAAGAACTATGCACAGGGCTTCTCTAGACGTGCTCCTAGCCACTCTTGTTCACATTCCACTTAGTCCTGCTAAGGAGGTCAAAAAGAGAACGCACTCCCAGAAGGAAGACCCCCCTACTCAGCTCCAACCCCAAGGACAGAAAAACGAAAAGTTTCACTACGAAGAGGTACTAGGTGATCCACACACTGTACAGGCGTGCTACCCACACTTTTCACAGCCTTTCTCTTCTCCCCAAACCTTTCTCCTCCAAACTCAACGCGCAAGAACAAGGGCAGTGCGCGACTTTTGAAGGGAATTCTTTTTTGCACGAGTCGAGGCCCTATGTGTGCAGCGGATGCACAAGTCACCTTAAGCTAGTAAAGAGAGAGTTACGAACCATGAGGCCAATCAACAGACCAGCAAACCCACAAGCAAACAAACAAAACAAAAACACAAACCCACAAGCCAAAACCCCAAAACAAAGGCCAGGTTCGTAACTCGAGTCGGCAATGCAATGTAAGCCTGTCGAGAGGGTGAAACATGGGGCTATGAATTCAGCCTTTGCACTCAGTACGTCACCATCACGTCATTTAGTCATTTCCTCATAGACGGCAGTATCCACATAGTAGCAGCAGTCAAAGTTCTTTGAGTCCTTTGAGTCCTTCCTGCGAGGACCACTGCTATCAACGGGCCACGCTACACAGGGGCTACTCAGGTCATGCACAGGAGTGCGCCGTGTTGCAAGGGGTGGAGTAGCGCACGTGTTTGAGCGGTGTCTGAGCGGCCGCTCATAGATAGGCAAAAGAAACACACAAGGCCAACATCGTCAGGGTAGCAGCAAATTTGTCGGCCTGGACATCTAAGCACGCGAGGCTCAAGGAAGACCACTGCGTCAGCTGACGAGGACTTCAAATCAAAGCCAGTATGAAACAGCGGAGCCCAAAACAAGCAGTGCATTGATGCGTTTGAATTTGCAGCGGTGACTCCAAAACAACTTGGCCAGGGGGGCACAGAAGGACAAAATTTCCAAAGAGATCACAGGGAGCCAGACTAAGAGGTAGACTGGCTCATTGTCAACAAGTTGTCGAGCATCGAACAGCACCTTGCGTTTTTTTTGCACGAGTCGAGGTGCTGTGTGTGCAGGTTATGCACAAGTCACCTTAAGCTAGTAAAAGAGTGAGATACGAACCAAGCAGCAAGCCGAAACCAGACCAACAAAATCCCAAAACAACAAAACAAAACCACCAAAGCCGCTGGCAAGGTTCGTACCTCAGGATGGCTGAGTCAGCCAAAAGAAGCGGTGAAACAGTGTGAGACCAGGGGCTGTGAATTCATCCCTTGCGCTCAGTACGTCATCATCAGGTTCATGGCTGCTTCGAACAGCACCTTGCAGGCAGGTATGCCGTGAATGCGCGAGTCTTGGAACACGCAGGCCCCTTTCCAAGACAGGGTGAAACGATGCTATCCTATGTCACAATTGCTGTACAGGCCTGTACACTTTGTACTCATCCAGGACCGCCACTAGGGTGCCCAGCTCACTGTCTAGCTAATGTGTGCTGCTGTACGGCAGGTCATTTGGCATGTTCATGTTGTTGGCATGTTGTTGGCAGGACCGGCACATGGGCACTAGCCTGGGCATCTAGCAAAGTTAGTGCAGGTCCTTGCGTAGCTCCTCGTAAAACTCTTCGGTCTCAAGCATCCTAGCACCGCCTTGATTGGGCGGGAGAAAATGAAGCCATTGGGGTTTCGGAAGCTGATGGCATTCATCAAATGCACTATGCTCGGCATATGGTCCTCTCCAAGTTGTTTTGGTTTCTGCTTTGTGAACTTTGCTAAGTTGCGTGCATCCTGCAAATGCTCGTTGGGCAACAGTAAAGCTGGCAGAATGTGTACCTCTCGTAGCGAGATGCACTTTAAAAAGGCTTCCCGTCCAATGCGCCGTAGCTGTTTGGCGAGACAAAGTTGCTCCAATTGCGAGCAGTTTTAACAATATGTACGGTCTGAGATTTCGGAAACACGATCGAGAGCTGAAAACCGTACAGTTCCCAGCTTTCCTTCACATTCATTTAGCGCAGGGTGTGACACATAAAGCAACCTGCTACGTCGGAGCCGCCTCGAGATGCTTTAGGTTGTCCTCTTTGGATCTCAGCAGCAGGGTGTGTGAAGCATGTGTGAAGCACGGTTTGTCCATCTCGCGCGCAAAGCCTGTCGTTTGTTCAGGATGTGTGCCTTGGTACATCGGCTGCAAAGCTGAAAACCTCATCGCACATCATCGCACGAAGAATGCAACAGATTTCGAAAGCGGTGCACCAATCTCACAGATTCTTTCGAGGAAAAAGGACAATGCCCAGATAGTGAAGTACTGAGTGCAAAGGATGAATTCATTGCCCCTTCGTCTCACCTGGTTTCACTCTTCTCCACTGGCTGACGCAGCCAACCTGAGGTACGAACCTTGCTCCTTTTGGGTGGGTTGGGTTTGTTGTTTTGGGGTTGTTTTGTTCTGGTTCCGGTTTTGTTGCTTGGTTCGTATCTCTCTCTTTTACTGGCCTAAGGTGACTTGTGCATCCTCTGCACACATAGCGCCTCGACCCGTGCAAAAAAAATTGTTCAGGATGTGTGCCTTGCGACCCGAATCCACCCGCTGCCATTTGATCGTTGTTTGTTGGGCAAGGCGGCGTTGAAGAGATCTGTGTGTTCCAGTTCCACTGATGGTTTTCGCTCAGCTTCTTTTTTTTCCACGAGTACGGACGCCATGTGGGCGGTGTGCCCAGGTCATCATAAGAAGGATGGAAACTCTGCTTATTGGTAGGGGAAGCAACCCGAAACAACAAACAAGAAACACACCAACCCAACCCCAAAACCGACCCCAAAAGCACAAGCACCAA